CTCAGTCTTTTCCAGAAGCTTTCTCCCTGAATAGTCTCTCACATCACCCAAAACAGACCTTTACCCTCCTGGTGACTTCTGTCTCGGTCCAGGGTGTCCACGTTCCGTCACTCACTCATTTGAGAAGTGCTTATCGAGTTCCTACTACCAGCCAGGCTGTGTGGAAGAGGGTGGAAAAGGAAGTTAAGACCCTGACTCTGACCTTAGGACATCTCTGGCTGGTGGGGGAGGTAAGGCAAGTCCAATAGTGGAAACAGAACAGTGGCAGGCAGCTCTCAAACATCGTGCTTGGAACAGCACAGGGGTCAGGGTCACCGCAGAGCAGAGTGATGGCCTCTCCAATCCAGGACCCACACGGGCGCCCATGTACAGGCACAGGTGGCAGTCACCTTTTAACAGCTGTATCGCCTCAGGGGCATATATTGAGTTTGCAGTTCTCATTCACCAGAACTACTAGTAAATTTCCTTCCGAACTTACAATGTTTATTTTTTTGTTAACCCAAGCATAGGACTTTACATTAATCCCCATTAAATCTCATCTTGTTAGTCTTGGCCCATTGATCCAAACTGCTGAAATCTCCATAATCCAGATTCTGCCGTGCAGAGCACAGCTACCCCCCTCCAGCTTTGCGTTGCCAAGAAATGTGATCAGCACACCTTTTATGTCTTCACAGAGATGGCTGACAAAATTGTGGGCTGGGACGAGGCTTTGTACACAGCTCTAAGGCTGACGGTAGTCTCAGTCCAGCTGTCCAACATGGTTTGGGTCAACATGAACAACAGATTAATATCCTCTGGGTATTTATTCAGCCAACTACTAATCTATCCAGTGCTATCCCTGCACCAGCTACATTTCTCCATCCTGCATCATGATATTCTGAGAGATGTCGTCAAATAAATGCCTTCCTAAATATTTACGCCCGTTTGACAAATTTAAAATGCCCTTTCTGCTACTGTTCTTGAGTGAATATTAATTAGAGTTGCCCCTTAAGAGATGGCTGGAATTATTCTAGACAGAATAAAAGTCAATGCCAAAGTTCTGGCTCAGAGACACCCCAAATATAAATTCAGCGGGCCATGGACTTCCCCCAGCAACTCCCTTCAAGCAGTAACGGAACATGGCTTGAAAACAGAAAGCTCGGTGGGTTTGAGAGACGGAGAGAATGTGATCTACTGCCATCACCTTTAATTATCCTAAACTGGAAAAACGGATGTCTAAGCCCGCCGGCTTGTCCAATAAAGCATTTTGATCAAAGATGCAGTTGCACAGAGCACCTGTTTGAGGAATGGCCTGGGAGTCCGTGGGGATCCAGCAGAGTTATGGAAGTTATAAAACCGGTCCCTGCAGGTCCATAGGCAGACAGCAACAGTGTGAGAAATGCTTCTCCGGGGAAGATTTGGGTTTCTTTAAACATTCAATTATGGTTATACAAACAAACGTTTTAAGTGAAGAGCATCCGATCTTTGCACAAATTAGAGATGTTAGAAGACAAATAAAATAGATTCCTTGAAACAACTATTTACTACAAATTGAGCCCTGCTGCATGAAGAACTGGTTTACATGAAGAGTTCTGAGGTGGGTTAATTAGGCGACACTTTTCTAGCATTAGATTTAGATTGTGGCTCTTATGATTTAAGGCACTGAGGCCACCTTTATTTTGGTTATGATTTCTAAGCAGGTTTTTCATTAAAACAGATTTCTGGATATTTAAAGATCCAATACTCAATGGGTTGAGCTTTTTAGCCCTTTGAAAGTTGCTGGAGGCCTTTCTAAAACCCACCATTTTCTTTTTATGAATAATAAATACTTCAACGTTTTTCTTTTCAATTTCAAGTTTTTACAGAAGCTTATTTCCTTTGAAATAAAAAGCTTTCCTAATTTTAATAGTAATATTTTCTTGTTGTAAAATGTTAATAAAGTAAATGTCTTCCATAATCTTAGTATTCAGAGATCCATGTACATGTGAATGATTTTAAGATAAAAACTGAATGCCATGTAAACTATTATCTAACGTGCTGTTTCCATTGATTATATCATGAATGTTTTTTTACAATAATAAATATCTCCATCAACATCTTTAATTGCTGCATAGTACTCTATTTCATAGCTGGGTCATAATTTATTATTTATTATTACATAATCAATCTCCCACTAATGTACTTTTAGGTAAAATATTCTGCAATGAACATCCCTGAACACAGGGCTGATTCCCACCTTCAGGCACTGAAGCAGCTACCGACCAGCTTACCTTCTGCTCAGTCAGGCTCTCTACTGTGCTGGCTGTTAAATATTGAAATGACCCTTGTTTGCACATTTATCTTTGGGTTCTTATAGCTTCATTTAGATAAATTCTCTAATTGGATCTACCGGGCCAAAGGCTATGTAAATTAAAAATTCTGTTCTATCCTGGATGATTGATTACCTTTGTGTCTGACAGCATTAAGAGCTGGTAGCATACAAGCATTTCACTCTACTTATAAAATTGTAGATTTTTTAGTATTCATTGTCTCAAAAATGAAGTCCACATGGAACAGACATGTAACCTTTTTCAAAAATTTGTTACACTGAAGTACTGGGGGCATGCATTATTAAAATAGTAATATTGGCATGCTCTAATTATGAAAGTATTATTTTTAACAGAACGAAATCTGCACAATTAGTATAAGTAGTATAATTAAAATAAAGCTATAGAATGTCACAGAACATATTAAACATTCTCTATTTATTTTATAAAATGTAGCTTGACAGTGAGGTTGGGAAGGGAGAAATAAATCAAGAAGAGATAGTTTTATGTTTTCAACTTTTCTAATTTTGAGATTATTTTGAGAAAGGCCCAGAATTGGAAGTGAGCAAATTAAGGCACCTTCTTAAATGATCTTTTATATAAATTAGCCACTGTCTAGTAGTCAACATGGATTATACTATCCACTTTAACAGAAAGTAAATCATTTTCAGAGGGAACCACGAATGAAGCTATTAAGCCACTTCGCAGACTCAGAGAGCCAGATGGGCTCCAAGAACTGCATTTCTATACGGAAAAGTACGTCCAAAGCTAAGTGATGAAGCAGGATATCAAATTGCACACAGACTACAATATCAACTAGGAGGACAAAAGAAGCCAAACCTTATTTATAAGAAAACAATCGGTATGAACATTCACCAAAATATTAACCAGGATTGTGTTTGGTAGTAGGAGCATAATTTGTTTTTTGGCTCTTTGTTCTTTCCTTCCCCCTACAGTTTTCAATTTTCTGCAGTGGACATGTATTCCTTTTATAGTAAGAACAAATAACTTAAGGTTTTTATTAAGTCTACTTCTGTCCCTCTACCTGCAGTCCTAACACCGTCTAAAGGCCCAAGATCAGCCTCATTCACGCTGTTCACCACAGTCCTCCAACAGTCCACCAAGAGAGGCAGTCGCAATAGACACTTCCCACACCCAGCTGTGCCAATCCTAAAACCCCAGCGAGGACATGCATCACCAGAAGCCTTATTTTCTTTTGATCTTTCAGGGAGTACCTAGTTTCATCCACTGAGATGTTTTCAAAACCACATACAAACAGCAATGTACAAGCATTAAAATGTCCCACAATATTCTTACATGGGAAAAAAAGGAACATAAAAATATTTACTTTGCTAAAAGAGACATCTCAAAAGGTTTCTGGTCAGCTCCCTGATTATCCAAGATGTGTGCCTGCACCTTTATCCTATTCACAAGGAAAGCTAAGTACACATTATTTACTGCTTACAAAAGCTTTTAATCCACTTAATGATTAAATCCATTTAATGAGGGATAAACACGCAAGAAATACAAAAAGGCAGGTTGCAGATCCCAAAGAGGAGGCCATTCTATTTTACATATATTCATTTTCAATATATGTATTTTTAAATATATACTTATATGCATCCATCTCTCTCTCTCTCTCTATTGTTTTTAATTGCTGTTGGCCGTAGTGTGAGATACTGATTATAAGAATTGGCCGCTGATGATCTCATTCATCTGATTTGCTTCGGACCCTCCAAATCAAGTAAATGATCTGACTTGTTTACATGGAGACACTGAGTCAGATTTTTGTGACTTGACATCTCTGGCAGAACTCATTCCAGTGAAGCTGTCCTACCTACACTGTCATTTCAGCAAAAAAAGTCAGCATTTCACTGATGGCTGAGGAATAGGAACCAGTGGTTCTAGAAGAGAGAAACTCCTACTTTGAATGAAACAAGACTGGGAACTTGATTTATACCTATAAAAACAGATGGCTTGTTAGGAGAGCTCGATTCTTTTCTGGTACCAATCAAATAGAATAGCAAGGGGTCCTTTAGATCTGAGGAACCCATGGAGATAGCCACAGAGTGTAAAGGATGACAAGAATATGGGTTGTGTTTTATTTATGCCCTGAAGCAGATACAGTTTTCTACTGGGAAGGCATACAAAATACGTAATAATATCCATCTGCTCCAGAAAAAAAATATAATACCATTTGCTGAAAATTTATATAATTTTGCAAGAAAAGGGCCAAATTTTTAAATAAAAAGATAAAACAAATACTTTATACCACTGGAGACAAGCTCTCAAAGATAAAATAAACTCTTGGTATTTTTCAGGGAGAAAAGAATTTCTATCCATTTGAAGCTGTTTCTCCTTATATAACCCAAGAATTGCCAAAAGTCAACTAATTATGGAACACTGTTATTTGAACAGCACAGAGGATGCTTAAATTCTATCCTTGAAAAATCAGGCTCTGAAAAAAAAAGAAACACCAGAACTATGAGAAAAACCTGCTGAGTTATACAGTTCTCTTTTAGAGTGATAAAATTCTTTATTTTTCCATTGGATCATTTTTTGAGGTTAATTCTTCCCCAAAACCGAATTTGGATTATGAATCCATGCATTTAGTTCTGCTTCTCTATATGCCAACATAAATTACACAGCACTTTTCAGTCCACATTATCTTAACGTTCTCCTATCGTGCAGTAAACAGGAATTAACTTGACTCACTCATTTCTTTCCAGATTTATGATCAGTTCTTTGCTTTCCAGTTGTATTCGAAAATTCAACACTTGTGGATGATTCTGAAAGATAAACAAGAAAAGTCAGTTGAAAAATATTTCACTTTGACTTGCCAATATCTGAATATGCTCCGTAGGTATATTCAATGGGGGGAGAGAAACACATCCTCTTGGGACCATTCCAAGGCCCCAAGTAGAGGAGAAGAGGACAACCAGAATAAGAGTCTGGAAAACGCGTCACCCTGCTGGGTGGCACTGACACAACTGCATCCCTGGCCTGTGTACTCCTCTCCTTTGGCCACATACCCTCAGGATGCTTCTTGACTCGACCCCCATCTCCCATAATCAACTCCTTCCTCAGTTTCCCTTTCTCTAGACAGGACACCTCTTTCTTTTCCCCAACTGCTCATGCCAGAAATCAGAAGTCCTCCTTGAACCCTCTACCTTTTCCCTCACCAGCTCCATCCAATCCACAAAAAGGTCCTATAGAGTTATACCTCCAAAATACAACTCCCGTTGTCCAGGTCTTACATCTCTCTCCCCCGCTCCAGTCTAAACCTTCATCATCTCTCACCCGGATTACTGCAAAACCCTTCTAATTCATGTTCCTCCATAGCTATCTTCACTTTCCTCCCATTCATTCTCCAATGGCAGCAGAAGGATATCTTTAAAAATATAATGTCATCAACCCACCCCTGCTTATGAGTCTGCATTGGCATCCCACTGCACTGACGACAATACCTCGTGCCTGCAGGCCTGGCCCTCGCCTCCCTCCACATCCCCCTACATTGCTTTCCTCCTTGCTCACCTGGCTCTAGCAGCTGTGTCTTTGCACATGCTGTTCCCTCTACCTGCAATGCTTTCTCCTAACTCTTCCACTCAGGATCAGCTTAAATGTCAATAATTAAAAAAAGCCTTACTTCACTCCCCAATCTAATTACACCCCCTTCTCCCCAGGTAGTCTTCCTTCCAGTCTCCTGTCCTTTTCCTTCTTGTAAGGAAGGACTTCCTTCCTACTTGTAATAATTCAGTATGTTGATTTGTGGGTCCTCTTGTTTATTACCGTCCATGAAGGTGCCAGACACATAACAGAAGCTCAACTAGTAATTGGTGAACGAAGGAATCAATCAATAGGGCAAACAGCTCTACCAACCTCTTCTCCCTCTTGCTAGGCAGACACCCTCTTCCTGTTCTCCTTTGGGTGCCAGGAACCCTAGTCTATGTGTGCCCATCTGCCAGTGGGGAGCAGGCACCTACATTCTCTGTTCTGCCCCAGAAGCCCCAACGAGTTTCTTGCCCGCCCTAAGAATGTATTCCTGTGGCAGTGTCCCTTAACCCCCAGCCCCACCCCAGGCTCTCTCCCACCTAACCCAGGCGGTCAAATATGCCACACTCCTTCCTGTTGAGCCCAAGTCAATGATTCGGAGTCTTTCCCCAAAGTGAAAATCTATTTGCCATCCCAAACGTATCTTCCTAAGCCCCCTTCTGCTTTCCCAAATGCCATGCATCCTCAATGATTCTAGGGACTGATGGTCCAATTCCTCTCCCTCACCCAGGCCAGCATGTCTCAAATGGGGCATTTCTCACTAAGAGAATTTAACATTTTTAATGTTGATTTTAAAAAATGAATGCTGTGTTTTCATTCTGATGACATGTTGAGACAGTTCACTCAGCACAACGAGGCCCTGACCTAGCTCGCCATTGCTTCTGTGTTCACGTGGGAGCCTGGCAGTGCTGCCCGACCTCCAGGCTGACGTGAGAAGCAGAGGGGAGGGGTTAATTCACAAAGGATGCAGTCAACTCAAGAAAGGGCAAAATGCCATCACAGCCCAGTCCAGAAATTAAGGTTTCTTAGTGGCTTAAAAAGAACCAAGCGGAGGAGAGTTGGGTCATCACGTGGAACCAGCACCACAAACTCCAGAGCACCCGGCTCTGCCCAGTTAGCGCGTCAGTGCTGCACATGGAGTTCCCGTCTTGTTCAAACATCATCCTCACCCACGTTAAATTGGCGCTGCTAACTTCAGTTGTATCGGTTTCGTCTGCCTTTGCTTTGTGAATTCTTTTGGTTTTATGCTTGTATAACAGATATGAGAAGTAGGGGTTTATACATAGTTTTCTAATATTCCGTATTCAAAAGGCACTTCTATAACTTCAGAGTTCAAGAGACTTTTTTACAACACAGCATTTCAGCTACGCTATAAATGAACTAACCACACGCTACTACATTTTAACAGAAAATGGGTTGTAAGCTCCAAAATCCAACATTAAAATAGTTAAAATGCAACAAAATTTAAACAAAAACCACAACAACTGAAGGTCACAAGAGCTTTGGGAAAATGTAAAAACCTGCATTAACTAATGCCATATTACTGGGGCTGAATCATGAAGGGGGAAGCACGATTCACTTTGTTTTTAGGGCAGCCCTTTGCACATCTTTTTGTAATTTCCTATGTCTAATATGGTAGCCATTAGCCACATATGGCTATTTAAATGTAAATTAATTAAAAAAATTTAAATTAGTTCATCAGTCGCACTGGACTCATTTCAAGGCTCAAAAGCAACATGTGGTTAGTGGATATCACCATCAGACAGCACAGACGAAGAACATTTCCATTTTCACGGAAAGCTCACAGAAATTTCCATGTTCATTGGACACCTCTGAGTCAGTAACAGAGACCTAAAACTTGCATCACCAACTGCTGCCTGATTAACAGACTATTTTAAATATTAGTGCCTTTAGGGGATAAAATTAGCAAAGCCAAGTTTTGTGTCTTTTTTAGTGTGCTTCCAGAAGGCTCTTCTCAATTTTAATTGATGAGTGATATTATTTTTTAAGTAGTTACTTAAGCTTGAGTGTTAAACAGGTAAATTTCCATATACATGAAATGCTTATGTATATTTTCTGGGTTTAAACAGGTCTTGTTTTGTATGGATTCATTCTAGCAAATGACTACACAAAATCTAGCGATCCTGTGAAAACCACACTTCTTAATTGACGTACTTTGATGTTGTCTGGTATTTATAAGAATTGTATGGATTTCTGAGTGTTTGCTGAACTTTTAAAATTAGTATTACTATTCCTATTAATTAAACACACATTACTTCTTTTGATTTTTAATAGAGTGTGTAAAAGTGTTTCTAAGCCCTGTATTTGATTTTGGGTCTGTCACAGAGACTGTTACCCACATTTGACTATACTTTCTAACACTTGGATTTAACTACAAACACTTATAGAATGTTCTCTCCAGGGTTTGCGATTTGTATCCATTAATTATATCTTAGAAAAATAATACTATTAATTATGTTTATAATAAAATATTAGAAAAAATATGTCTCAATATTCTGTCAAGATATACCCAAACAGCATACAGATGTATAAGGATATATATTTGTATGTGTCTTATATACGTGTGTGTGTAAATAACTTAGTTACTTTAATTACAAATTGTTTGTCTAAGATATTGACATACATATCACTCTTTTAAAGAGAAATCCTGACAATTATATTTGTGAATAAAAATATTTGCAGCACTCTTTTTTCCCCCCAAAAAATTGAGCTAGTTTAAACATTAACATTTGTACTCATCCCACATCAAGTCCCTACAGGACCTGTTATAACATTCCAATGTCAACATCTTTCAGATGACTACATTTGCCCCCAGGGAGGCAAAAACATCTTTATCTGTATACTTTAGTTGAGATATGAATGGTGCAGGAGAAATCAATGGAGAAGAAGAACAGAGAGCTATTTTAATTCAAAACCACTAATTGCATTAGATTTCTTCGTTTAAAAGCAGGTATTTGTTCTGTTTTCTTTCGATTTTTACATTGGAGATAATGAACTAGTGCTGGTTAAATATAGCATTCCTTTCTTAAAAATAACATATTGATTACCCTAATGGAACAGTCTTTTATTGAATGCTTAAAGAACTGCATTTGCTGAATAAATCAATTAAGTGCTAAATCAATAGGTTAAAAATGTTTTGTCATTTTTAGTCATTGTAATTCTAGTTTTTTAATTGGGAAAAGTACATCCAAAAGAATGTATAAAATGTATAAGTCCAATTTAAAAGACAACAATAAAATAATCATTAGGATATCTATCACCCAACTGAAAAAATCAAAATATTAGTAGAATCTTAGAAGCCTCCTGTATTAGCTGGCTAGGGCTGCCATAACAAAATACCACCGACTGGGTAGCTTAACCAACAGAAATTTATTTTTGCACACTTCTGGAAGCTAGAAGTCCAAGATCAAGGTGTCAGCAGGTTTGGTTTCTTCTGAGGCTTCTCTCTTTGTAAATTCCTCATGGAAATGAGTTTGGGCAGGCCTCCCCAGACGGTTCACCCAGGCAGATCTGCAAAGTAAGGCTCCAGCTAGCACCCCGTGGCCCATCACCTGGGCCCTCAGCTGCCCTGTGGGCTCTCTGAGGTCTTCCACAGTGCACTTGGCCAGCACATCCTACTTAACTGGAAGTATAAGCAGATGTTTAAAAAGTGATTTATTGATTAGCTACAGCTTTCTTCTTCTCAGCATTATGTGTGTTGTGCTGCCCTTCTTTAATATGTATAATTGGGAGCTCACCCAAACTTGAATTTAAATTATTTCACTCATGATGGGTGCAAAATATCTCAAGTTAATAAATGTAGCTTTTCATGGATGCAAGGATGCTTATGACTTTTTTTTCTCTGACAGATGGAATGATACACAGCATCATCTCCCTGGTGTTTCTATGTCCTTAAAGAGTAGCCAATTTTCAACGACTTGGAAAACTCTGAACCTGACCATGAAGATGAAATAAGGTGGCAGTGAGCCGGCAGGAGGAAGAGAATTACATTAAAAAACTAAGATGTGGGGTCAATCGCCAAGACCACTTCCATCACGACTTCTAGGTTATCCTCTCAAAGACAATGGTCGGTGCTGAGCCAAAGTCATTCATCTCAACCATCGATACTAGAAGCTCAGAGAGATCTAATTTTTCAAACAGAATAACAATATTACAATAATGCATTCAAGGGACTCTGAAATAACTAGATCCCTCTCCAGTACTAAGTAAATGCTTC